TAACCCTAGGTCTGTTGACTCAGAGCCCAGGCACTTTTCATTATGCCAATTTGCCTTGAAATTTGCTGTGCAGCCTGAAGAAATCAAGCCAATGCTTCCATCTGTGGACATGTTGTCACTCCATTTCTAAAAGCACATCCAAGCCTTTTTTCCCTTTAGCAGAGTCATTAAAAAACCTGGTGTGTAAAATAATAGATTTCATTATGATATTTTCATACATGTCCATCATGTGCTTTGCATTTTTTATCCTCCCATTGTTCCCATCTTGCCCCCCAATAGTCCCACTTAAACGCTTATGTCATTTATGTGTATGTAAGCATAGGTATGTGTGTATCACCTATATATTACAGAAAACATGATATTTGCTGTTGAGTCCAGCTTATTTTGTTTAACATGATGGCTTCCAATTTCATCCAATTTTTGGCAAATCATATAATTTTGTTTTTCTTTATGACAGAATAAAACTCCATGAACACACTAAATCTTAAAGTTACAAAGATAATTTCTGTGTACTTTAGGGTAATTGTATAAAAGCGGTGGCCCATATGTCTCTAAATTACAGAGTTCCTGAGTGAGCCATATCACTTGAAGGTGGAAATATGGTCTTGTAAGATTTTCTTTAAACTGAGATTCTAGAGAGTACTTCAACACTTGATCATGTAAAAGAGAGTCAGAAAAAAATGTATAGCACCTTCACATTTCATGAAAATGGAAACTAAAATCTCATACCGTCTATGTTTATGTAACTCAAATGGCTATCATATATAAAGGATCAAACCAACTGATTTTTGTAATTGATCCCTAAATAACAATACTAAGCCTTTTTCTGGTTGACAGGTAAGATAGTCCTATTTTATTTCAGAAACACAGCAGTGAAGAATTGTGCAACCTTTCTTGGTCATCAGGTAATGAGCAGACAGCACACACAAAGAAACTTGCAAAAATCTAATCAAAATGGTCTTATGGTACTGTCTCCTGAATATCAGACCAGCCAGCTCTGAAAGACTTGACAAAACAAGGCTAGATTGGATGTGCTGACACAAGCTTAGCAGAATGGTCTCACTATATTTTTGTAACAACCTGAAAAAAAAAATCTTTTGTGTGTGTGTCTGCATGTTAATCTTCAAACTGCATCTACGTGACTGGAGAGTATGCCACTGAAACCAACATAACTTGGCCACGTAAATCATGTGTACATTCCGAGTGACTAGGGCCCTTGATCACATTCCTGCCAATTACACTGTTCTCAAAAAGATCTGAGCTAAGTCTTAACATGTCAAGAATGCTTGGAGGAAGAAAAAAACAAAAACCAATGGTGGAGGAGACTTCTAAAAACAGAAGAAAGAGGAGCTTATGTGAATAACAAGTCACAACTTTTTCCAGGCAACTTGTACTGAAGTAAAATGACTGATATACAAGTTGTTATTATGTGATCTTAGGTTAACTTCAGGGCACAGAGCTTTGGGAACTTCAGAAAACAGCATTTTGTTAGTACCTATCCCCTATAGGATTTGAGTTTTCTCTCGTGGCTTCTACCTTAAGCTGGGCAGAAAAACATATTTGCACCTTAGTTTGATTTTCTATAACTGCACTTCACCTCCAGCCCCTTAGACCTGAGTTGCTAGAAGACAGGAAATATATTTTGTTGTTACTCTTTAATCCCAAACAACACTGTGTAAATTGCAGTGAACATAGTGACTGGTTTCAATGCTGTTTAGTAACTGGAGACCTCTGCCATTTGGAATGTGGGCAGAGGAGCTATGTTCTGGCAGATAACATGGCAACTCTTAAAATGCAGAGTCACCTGGGCCTGAGAGTCTTTGCATGTTTTATATTTAGCTTCTTGAATACGGGTGTTCTTGGCTTGGACCAAGTCACCTGCCAAATCAAACTGTTATAATTATTTTCCCACGGAAGGAAACCTTGGGAACCCGGTGACAATTCCATCGTCTGTGTACAGGCTGGGCAGTTGGCACACTCAGATATAAATCCCAGTTTTGCCAATTGCTGGCTGTGTGTCCTTGGGCAAATTTCTTAATCTCACTAGGGGAAGTAGTCTAGACAAATTCCAGGGATGGGTGCCCATGGCCCGCAGGCATGTTCTGTACCTCCTGTTTGTTTAGGTGAGCTGGGTTCATTTAAAGGCAACAGGACCTGGCTGATTGGAAGCCATAACCCATCTCTTGGGCACTGCAGGAAACCTGGAGAAGAGAGTTTGGAGTTTGGTCTAAGACCTTGGCTTGAGCTATTATGCAAGTTTTACTCAGGGAAACAGCACAGAGACCAGCAACCAGATCTTCACATGGCTTCCTGTACTTGGAAGCATTATCAGCACTCCTACACATCCACCATAGAGATTCCTGGAGCCTGGGCTACCACAGTTACTGCTGGGAATCCCAGTATTGTTGCTGTACCCTTGAACTGTGAAAGAAGCTGGAAACCCCCAGATGCTGCTTCCTCCATGCATTGGTGAAAGGAAATGACCGTGCTACCCTTCTAGGCCTTTTTGGATTGGGGAAATGGGATTAACTGACATTTCTGAGATGTCCTGTGTGATTCACTCTAAAAGTCTGAGGTTTTATGTTATATGTTAGCATCATCTCAGCTGTGTTCTGTTCAATTTGAAGTTCTCTCGCTTTATGCTTACACAGCTCTGAAAGTGCTAACCAGTAACAGAGAGGTGTGGTGGCTGCTCCCGAGGAGGTATTATCCCCATTTCACAGTTACAAGACATCTTGGAGGAATCTTCTTGCCTAGGATCATGAGATCTGGGTGTATAACCGAGGCAGACACCTCAGGATTTAATGTCCAAATGGTTTAATGTCCTTGAAAAGTCTTCTCAGCTTTCTAAGTGAGGAAGCTAGAACATGGCAGTCTCACAATTTTGACACTCTGAAGTCAGTTGCATCATCTGACTCTCTGAAAGTATGTTTACTTAAAAAAATTAGTGGGGATTTTTTATGACAAAGGAGGGAGAGTTTTAGTAACACTGATTTGGTGAATCATGTCAGTGACTCCTTACATAACAGGTATTTCCCTTAGGCCATCCCAGTCATAAGATTGAGCTGGGATGTCCTTCTGTAGCGAATTGATTTTTCTGTTCCCCTTGCCCGTGACCTGTGGGAACATCTGTGTCACGCAGTCCTTCCCTCTGCTCAGATGGAGGGGATCCTTCAGGGATGGGTGCTTAAGAACTGCTGTCTTTCCCACACATTCCTCTCTGTCTGGCAGCACCAGTGTTTCCTGACCTGGCCTCGGGCCACAGAACCATCTGCCAGTCTTGTCTGCCCTCTTTCTGATGCAAAATGTTCCACATGCCACTACAGAATGCCTTTTTTCTTCTTTAGTTCCTGTGGACATGGTCATTTTTTTGACTACTGAAGGCAAGAAGGCACGATGCCCAGGGGTCTTTACTGAGGGTCTTCTGTTCTGGAACAACCCATTTTAGTCCACCAGCCACATCTTGTTCTCCTGAGGGAGAACCCTCTTGGTTTGCCTCCTTTTCCCTGTATGACAGTCTCAGGACCTCTTTGTATAGTAACTGTTTCCCTCTTCCATTAGAAGACCTATTCCAAGATAGATGAGCAAAGTTTCTGTAGGGACAGAAGGTGTGAGGTTTTGCTATATTTGCTTGAAAGAGGAGGAATCTAGGGTATGAGTACTCAAAATAAGGAAATTATGTAGCCTTCACCATGGCTTCATGCCCTTAGAGGCCATTTATTATATTATTATGTATTACATTTTACATTGTTTTTTTTGGAGACAAAATCTTACTATGTAGCCCAGGTAGGCCTCAAACCTGTGGTCTCTCTACTCAGCTTCCTGAAGGGTCATCACAGGCATGAACCCCAACTACCAGCTCCTAGAAGCCCTTTCTGATTGTTGTTTGGTTTTTGTTATGCTTTGTAATTAATAGACTGGTTTAGAAAAAAGTTGGGTTTATATATCATTAAACAGGCAATATAGGAAGTTCCTGTATATCCTCTCCTCCACACTATAAATTTTAAGTACTTAGTTTTAGAATTTAAGGAACCTTCAAGTAAATAGATGTAATCTTGCAAATATATACATTTCTAACTTCCTAAACCACTGAGAGGCATGCAAGGAAATTCTAAATAGATCTTTTGTTATCCTGGCCCACAGGTTATTTAAAGGCAAGTTTACTGATTGTATTAATTTCAGAAATCTTTCAGTCATTCAAAGAAGAATCTCAAAGAGTGAAGAATGTTTATTTTATACTTCATCATACCTTTTTAGTTTAGAAGTGGTCTAGTGTAATTAAATAGTGTTCTAACAATAACTAGAACTTTCTAACTGCTTATCTCTTCCTACTTGCTTCTGTTCTGGGTTCCCAGCCTAGTCTAGATCATTTGTCCAGAATCACAAATTGATTTTTAAGAGCTACCTGTGGTTGCAGCCTGGAAGCAGAGGGGGAACTCCATTACTGCGTGGTTTCATCTTTGTGAACTAACTAAATTCTTCATGACTTTGAAGGGCTCAAGAGTTTGAGGTCTACACTATGGCTCTAGTAATGCCCGAAAGCTCCTTGAAAAGGCTGTAAATATTTGTGATTGTTAACAGAAACAAGGGCTTTTACTCTTCCACAGTGACTGAGAAGAAGCACAGGAAGGAAGATTCACACACCTTCTTAATTCTGTATTTCTCTTGTTTGAACCTTATGCATGCCTTTCAAGAACAGACCCTTTCATCTTACTAAAAGGAAAAATTATAATGAAACCATCTTCTAGCAGTCTCATTCTGTAACACAGATAAATGTACAAATAGGTATCAAGTTGGACAAGGTCACCTTGAATAAGAATTAACTTTTATTTTCAATCTACTGGAGAGAGACAGTTTAGGTGGAGCAGGCAACCGTCAGCGTTGTGAAATTTGAACACTATCATGAAACTTGCCTGCAGAAAAATATCCTTCCTCTGGATCTGAGGCAGATCCTGAGAGGCAGGCAGTGATTGTCCATGTAGATAAAGACTTTGTCATGCTTGCTTTGGCAGTACATATCCTAAAACTGGAACAAAACAAAGAAGATTAGCATGGTCCCTGTGCAAGGATGACAAGAAAATTCGTGAAGCGCTCCATATTTTTTAAAAAAAAAGACTTTGTCTCCATTTGATATCATTAAAATAAGCATCTAAAGGGAATGGAATCGTTAGAATAAACATCTACAGGGGCTGGGGAGATGGCTCAGTGGTTAAGCTCACTGGCTGTTCTTGCATATGATGTGAGTTTGGTTTGGTTCCTAGCACCCATATGGTGACTAAAAACCATTGTAACTCCAGTTCCAGCAGTTCTGATGCCTCTTCTGGTCCCCATGGGCATTGCATGCACTGGTGCACTTACATACATGCAGGCAAAACACTTATGCACATAAAATAAAAATAAACAATTTTTAAAAATAAGCATCCATTCCACAGGAAAAGTAAATGTCAACATATTAGGAAATGCTTAAAGTGTGTATTATGAACTTTTTATTTTGAGGTAGTTTTATTCTGAGACCATTGTAGATTCTCATGTAGTTGGAGGGAATGGTATAGAGGGTCTCAAACCATCCATATACTTTCTACATCTTGTATAACTACAGTACAGGATCACAACCAGGAAGTTGACATTGATTCAATTTGTAGTCTTTACTCTGATTTCCCCAATTCCACATGTGTTTATTTGTGTGTATATGTCTATGTATTTCAGTGTATGCAATTTTATCACATGTATAAATCAGTGTAGCCACTTTCATAGTTGTATTAGTTACTTTTCTGTTGCTGTGATAAAACACCACGACCCAGGCTACTTATAGAAGGAAGAGTTTATTATACAGTTTCAGAGAAATAGGAATCCATCATGATGAGGAGGCATGGCGGTAGAAACGGCTGGATCAGAAAGCTAAGAAGTCACATCTTCAAGCATGTGCAGGAATCAGAAAGAAGAACTTGAAATGGGACAGGGCTCCGAACTCTCAAAGCCCGCCCCTAGTGACATGCTTTGTCCAGCAAGGCCAGACCTCCTAGGGATTCCATGACCTTCCCAAAACAGCGCCACCAACTGACCACGTGTTCAAATACTTGAGCCTATTTGGGACACATTTAAACCACTACAATTGTCAAGGAACAAAGATACAAGATTTAACTCCTATTATAAGGATCCTTGTGTATTCCTTTTGCTCTCTCTCTCTCTCTCTCTCTCTCTCTCTCTCTCTCTCTTCCACTTTGTCTTATATGAACCAATAATCTCTTGTCTAAATTTTTGAATTTTGTCATTTTCAGAATGTCACAGCTATGGAATCTACAGCACATGACTTTTCAGATCATTGTTTTTCTTATTTAACATAATTTCCTGCAAATTGTGTACATCCAAAATTTGTTTCTTTTTATTGCTGAGGAATCTTCCATGGTATGGATGCACCACAATTAAAAAAGGACGTTTAAGTCATTTCTAGCTTTTTGCATTTATGACTTTTCAATGTTTCTTGGTTTTCTATTTCTCTTTGCCTGACTTCCTGTATATTACTTAACATAGTTAAGGATTGCAATTTACTCTATTTATAGTCTTTTTGAATGCATTGTTTTCTTAACCTTTTTACTTTAAGTACTGTGGTAGACATAGGTAACTTTATTGGTACTGGTGTTTTATTTCTAGTAAAATGTACAAGTCTTACTTTTACTTAGGTTCTTTAACCCCCCTACTTTTTAATGTAATTATCTTAAGCATTTCCTCTACACACACTGAGCACCACATCAGATGGTACTGTAGGTTTTGACTATGAACTGTGATTTTTTTTTTTTTTTTTTTTTTTTTTTTTTGTCATTTTGAAGCAGGGTCTCCCTCTAGCCTCTAGCCCCAACTGTCCTGGAACTCACTATGTAGACCAGGCTGGCCTTGAACTCACAGAGATCCGCCTGCCTCTGCCTCCCAAGTGCTGAAACTACAGGCGTGCACCACCACAGCCGGCTCTGAACGGTGATTTTTTAAAGCACAGGAAGCAGAAGAGTGGTTACTCTACTTATTCCCATCATTATCCAGTCTGATTCTTTCCTGGGTAAGATGAAGGTAAAAAAAATTATTAGCGACAAGATCTCCTTTTGTTAATTTTGTATATTGGGAGGATTTATGACTATTGAAGCAACAACATGTTTCAAATAAATCCCTTCCTATAAACTCCTGACAAGGGAGCAGTTTGATCAGAAAGAAGGTAAAGCTTTGGCTTCCCAGAGTTACTGGAGAAGGCAGAAGATTTTTCTGTCCTTTCAGAGGTGATGACTGTGTTCACAGTGGTGGTGATCTGAAGTGCTCTCCTCCGTTCTCTGCTGTTGACCCACTGAAAAGTACTATCATCAAATGTCTTTGTTTTGCATACCATTACTACAAGCAAGGAAGTGGTCCGGGACTACTTCAACTAACTTACTGCTCTTTGGAAAATGAGTTCTAGGATTATAGCCAGGTCAGAATTCAAATTCTGAGCTTCATACCTCAGCTTACTTCTCTGAGCTCTAGGTCAGTGTGTTATCTGCAACTCTGGGTCTCAAAATTTCTCACTTGAAGAAACTGAGTGGCCAAGTATGTGTTGATTGACATCCATAGAAAGACTCCAGGAAGCGACACAGGACAGAGACTGCTAAACAGCACTTACACTTTATTCCTAAATTATTCAGCCTGTATTTTCCGATACCATAGGTCTCACAAACAATGTGGTGCGTATTATCAATTTCAGGGACTTTATAGTGATTTATTGGTTTTGTCATTTTAAATACATATTCCAATTGATCCGTTGACTTGATAATGTCCTCTATAGCATTTCCCAGCTTCTTGGACAGAGATACTCACATTTTCATGATTCTGTGTTCTCCTTTAATATGGAACATTACACAGCTGTGCCCATTTGGGCCTCCTGACCCAGAGCTCAAGCCAGGATTGAAAGTATATAAAAATGTATTAGAGGAAATGTTTATGAAAACAAAGGTGGTAGCAATATGCCAGCAAGAGTCCCAGATGGTGCTACTGAACTGCTACCTGGGGAGGGAGAGAGAGAACGAGGGATGGTACGGTGGGAAGAGCTTGAGACTGAAGAAACGCAGTTGTGCGATGGTCTCAGCCAGGCCCACTGGGAGCCCCAGAGCAAAGGCTTCCTACTGGAAGAATCCTACCTTAGGCAGAAGTGTTCTGGCTGTTTCCCTTTCTGCTCAGCCATTGGTCACGAGCATTGTGTCACTGTGACACTGTGGCCTGCTCCAAGATGTGACAGCCAGAGTCCATAGGCAGCAGGCTCCTTCTTGACAGAGATGGGATGAGTGCATTTCTGTGTCTGCTCTTCTTTGTCTTTTAAGGACATTAACTTTTTTTTTTATTAGCTTGCTTTCTGTTGCTTTGATAAAACACTGAGTAAAAATGATTTAGAGAGGAAAGGGTTTATTTGGTTTATAGCTCACAGTCAGTCATCAAGGGAAGCCAAGGCAGGAACCTGGGGGTCGGAACTGAAGCAGAAACCATGGTGGAACACTACTTACGGGCTTGCTCCTCCAGCCTATGCTTAGCCTGCTTTCTTATACAACCTGTACTACCCACAGGGGGCTGGGTGCTCCCACATCACTCAACAATCGAGAAAATGCCTCACAGACATGGCCACAGGCCAATCTGATGGAGGGAATTCCTCAGCTGAGGGTCCCTCTTTCCAGGTGTGTCAGGTTGACAACTGAAGCTGTTGAGCACACAGGAGATCTGATGGGTGAATCGCTGCAACTACCTTTCTTTGTCTTTTGTGACATTAACATTTTTGAAGAATCTCCTCTCTTATTTTAATAAAAACTCTCTCTCTCTCTCTCTCTCTCTCTCTTTCTTGCTCTGTATATTTATTGGTTCTGTTTTCTTTGAAGAAGTCAGACTGAGAGAGAGTTTTGCAGTGCCAATGAAATAACAATTGAAGGAGCAAAAGATGCTCCCACCAAATACCAAATCGTCACCTATTATTTAAAGACTAGCAAATGGCTGGTGTCCCAAAGGTGCTGCTTTCTGCCGTCCTGAATCCCCACTGGAAAGGGGAGCTTGGACTTGAGCTCACTGTGCTTGTGTCTCTTTCATGCCTCATCTCAGTTTTTAAGACAAATGACTCCTAGGTTTCTGATCTTTTAGAGACTGGAGAGTAAAATGCCCCCTCACATCTAAAATCCAGAAAAATTTGATGTTATAATTTAGAACCATTAAATCCTGTGGCAGGTTATGTTTCCAAAAATGGCTACAGGAGCATGTCCACTCCTCTGTGCCTCTTCAAAACCAGATTGCTTCATGTGGAAAAATGGAGTTTACTTCTCTGGGTAGACTCATGAATTCTTTACCCAGCAGAGCATAACAGAAGTGATGCTGTGTGACCCCCGGCTGGGTCACAGAGAGGGTACAGCTTCCGCCTGGGTCTCTTTTGGAATGCAGCCACAGCACTGTGAAGAATCCCAGGTCACATGGAGAAGCCACATACAGATGTTCCAGTCACCAGCTCCTCTTAAGTTCCCAGTGATGGCTCACTTTAATTGTGAGTGAATGAGCCTCCAGCCTCCCATTCTTTCAGTATTAGACATCTTGGAACAGATACAAACCATCTCCTCTGTGCCCTGTCCAGATTCCTGGCCCACAGACCCATGAGCATAATACATGGTTGTTTTACACCACTAAATGTTCCTGGCCATTTTAATGTAAGCAGAGTAAATTTTTGAAGCTATTGGCCAAATTTTATGCTGTAATCAGTCATTCAACAGATCTGTATTGTGAGTTTTTTGTGATCAAAATATGTTGATAGATTTGTGGAGTTTTCAAAAAGGCAAACAAAATGTATTCTTTGCTTATACAATGTCTATATTCTAGTTTAGGAAACTAAATATATTAAGTAAAAAATGCTAATAATATGAGATAAATAGCAAAACAGATAATAAGTGTTGCAAGGGAGTTAGGTGAAGGGGAGAGATCACCCTCGACATAAAGCAGGGCTTTGCTAACACAGCAACACAGCATGGAGCTCACTGCAATGATTTGAGAACTGTTTGTTTTATTGGAAAACCGTACACATTGAAGATTGAAAAAAGTATAGCAGATATTTAGAGAGCAAA